TTCTTCTTCTTCTTCTTCTTCTTCTTCTTCTTCTTCTTCTTCTTCTTCTTCTTCTCCTTCTCCTTCTCCTTCTCCTTCTCCTTCTCCTTCTTCTCCTTCTCCTCCTTCTCCTCCTTCTCCTCCTCCTCCTTTGACATCTGGCTGGATTTACGTGACTCCTTCAACTCTAAACTATAGGTTTCTAAGCCACAACTAAGCCAGGCTAAAACGGCCTACAACTGTAGGAGATGATGAGACCGAACCTGAGAGGGGAGTCAAGCAGATCATTCTGGTTTCTGGTTTTAAGTGACCGATAAATATTCCATACCTTGGATTCACATTTGGGGTTCCCATCAGGGTCCGTGAGAGTCCCCCCATACATCATGGGGATCTCTGCAGGGTCAATGTATTTTTGTAAGTCTTCCTTCCAATTTGCTAGGGGGAAAAAAAGAAGTTAAAAATGATGTCCTTTTCCATGGGTGCTTGGTTGGACTGATGAGTAGCTCCAAACCATTTTGAACGTTTACAAAATCACAACAACAGAACCAAAACCAATGTTAAAAAATGCAGGCGGTGAAGTTTGGAAATGAATTAAGGGACAATGGTAACCTTAGCTGAACTCACACGGTTTTAAATAATTCGTGTTTAGAGCATTGTGTTCGACAGAAATGACTTACTAGGTACTACATTGTTAACATAACTTAAAAAATTAAAGCCAAATAAGTATAAAAAAGGGAAAAAATGAAACCATCACTGCTGTGTTAGAAACAGGAAATTAAATGAGCAAAGTGCAATAATAATAATAATGATAATAATAATAACAACAATGCAACCCACCTCCAAAGATAATTATCTTCTTCCGGGTATGTTCACTCAGAATGTGCTTCACCATGTTGTAAGTTATGGGGAACAGTTTTGGAGCTGTATGATGGACAGGAGAAACAAAGCTTTATGTTGAGGGATAAATGACATTTTTTTCTGCAGACAAAATGCATATTCCAACAGGGAAGGACTGAGACTCACCTTTAATGATAAATAAATATTTAAGGCTCTCGGGGAAGTTTTCTTCGAACATGCCAAGAATCTGGAAATGTAGAGAAAGAATTAATTTGCAATAGTTTATAGTATGATAGATCATGATTTAATCATAAACCACCTTATCAGCAGGATCCAAAACTGAATTGGGACATCCAGGGTATAAAGCAGCATTGGTGACCCTTGGCCCCTTGAAGTTATGTGGACTTTGACTCCCAGAATTCCTGTTGTTTTAAGATATGTGGACTTCAACTCCCAGAATTCCCTGATCAGCACAGCTGACCGAGGAATTGTGGGAGTTGAAGTCCACACCTCTTAGAGTTGCCAAAGTTGAAATACACACATGTGAACTTTAACTCCCAGAATTTTTCAGACAGAATGCTTTATTTTTTGCAGGGACTTCAACTCCCAGAATTTCCCCAATAAGCATGTTTGAAGATGTGTGGACTTCAGCACCCAGAATGTATGGCCAATGTTGAAAACTACCCAACATCTTTGCCCAACTCTCACCTCTATGTAGACATCAACGCCTGGCTTCCAAAAATGCTTCAAACCGAGCCCTTCAAAATCATAAACCATTATGATGTTCTCAATTGTTTTCCCCAGCTTAAGAAAAAGGGAGAGAGAAGGGAAGAGTGAAGGACGGGAGGTGAAAAATTGAAGACACGAAATAGGAACAGCAGCAGTCACATTTTTATCCCTAAAGCTTTGAACAGAGTTGGAAGGGAACCTTGGAGGTCTTCTAGTCCAACCCCCTGCCTAGGCAGGAAACCCTACACACCACTTCAGACAAATGGTTATCCAACATCTTTTTAAAAACTCCCAGTGTTGGAGCATTCCCAACTTCTGGAGGCAAGTTGTTCCACTGGTTAATTGTTCTGACTGTCAGGAAATATCTCCTTAGTTCTAAGTTGCTTCTCTCCTTGATTAGTTTCCATCCATTGCTTCTTGTCCTGCTTTCAGGTGCTTTGGAGAATAGCTTGACTCCCTCTTCTTTGGGGCAGCCCCTGAGATCTTGGAAGACTGCTATCATGTCTCCCCTAGTCCTTCTTTTCATTAGACTAGACATACCCAGTTCCTGCAACTGTTCTTCCTATGTTTTAGCCTCTAGCCCTCTAATCCTCTTTGTTGCTCTTCTCTGCACTCTTTCTAGAGTCTCAACATGTTTTTTACAGCGTGGCGACCAAAACTGGATGCAGGATTCCAAGTGTGGCCTTATCAAGGCATTATAAAGTGATATTAACACTTCATGTGATCTTGATTCTATCCCTCTGTTTATGGAGCCTAGGACTGTGTTGGCTTTTTTGGCAGCCACTGCAGAAGGCTGGCTCATATTTAAATGGTTGTCCACTAAGACTCCAAGATCCCCCTCACAGTTACTACTATTGAGCCAGGTACCACATATACTGAATATACAGAGAATAAAGTGTGTGGCCCTAATGCCCAGGGTGGGGTCCAAAGCCCCATCTCATTTAGATTCCCATGTTTGAACCCAAATTGAACACTGCTATCCTGTCACCCTTGGTCCTTCTCTTCATTACATTAGACATACCCAATTCCTGCAACTGTTCTTTGTATGTTTTTTTCCCCAAAGTCTCAACATCTTTTTTGTAGTGTAGTGACCAAAATTGGTTGCAGGATTCCAGGTGTGGCCTTACTAGGGTTTTATAAAACGGCACTAATATGTCTTGTTGTCTGGTGCTTTGGAGAATAGCTTGACCCTCTCTTCTTTGGGGCAGCCCCTCAAATACTGGACGGCTGCTATCCTGCCTCCCCTGGTCCTTCTCTTCCCTAGACTAGCCATGCCCAGTTCCTGCCCCTCAAATACTGGAAGGCTGCTGTCATGTCTCCCCTGGTGCTTTCCTCATTCCTGCAACTATTCCATATATGTATTAGCCCTCAGGTGTCTTTTGATCAGGAACCCGAGGATTTTTATTCAATTTTACTTCACAATGAATAAATTCCATGGCCTGCAAAAATAATAATAATAAT